GATGCGATGCGATGCGATGCGATGCGATGCGATGCGATGCGATGCCAAGCCTTTTTCGGATGGGCCCCTCTGGCATCCATCAACGTGGCCACCTTGTCCACACACCACCATCCACCCTCTTTCCCCTAAATCACACACACACACTCTCTTCACTCTTCGCTTGACATGGGTCTATTGGACAAACTCGCAAGCAAAGTCGGCGGCAACTCGGGTCGACCCCCCTCGCAGCAGTACGGCGGTGGAGGTGGCTACGGTCAGCAACCCCCCTACCAGCATCAGCAGCAGCAGCACTACGGGGGTGGCGGGTACAACCAAGGTCCGCCTCAGCAGTCGTCTGGCTATCCTGCTGCTGCATCTCCTCAGCCGCAGGGTGGAGAGAAGCCCAAGGACGACGATCGGCCGTTGCCGGACGGATGGGTGAAGCAGTGGGACTCGAACTACTCGCGCTACTTCTACGTCGACACGCGCGCCACTCCGCCACGGTCCATCTGGGTCCACCCGAATGACGAAAACAAGTCGAGCACTCCAGCTGCAGGCGGGTATGCTCCTCCACCCGGTGGGCCTCCCGACAACCGTGGCTACGGCCAGCAGCCTTATCCTCAACAGCAATACGGTCAGCCGCAGTACGGTCAACAGCCATACGGCGGATACCAGCAGCAACCCATGTACCAGCAACAGCCCATGATGGCCGGTGGTCCCATGGGCGGCATGGGCGGTCGCAGGTTCGGCGGCGGCGGAGGAGGCGGCATGGGCATGGCCGGAGGTGCCGCGCTCGGTCTCGGTGCCGGCATGCTCGGCGGTGCATTGATCTCGAACCAGATGAACGACGCTTACCAGGACGGATACCAGGACGGCGCCCAGGACGACTTTGGCGGCGGCGGCGACGACTTTGGCGGTGGAGACTTCTGATCTCCCCACTCAGCTGCGAGGTGGATTCTGTTCGTTGGATTCTGTTTGTATATCTGCGCAGTGTGTACATATGATTATTATTCCTCCAGCGTTCTGCTTGCGTTGCCATGTGGATGACCAACAGCATCCGAGTGTGTCCCCAGAAGTGGCATACGTCGTTCGTTTGGGGGCCAGGTGAGGAGGTGTAGATGCTGAGTCGGGATTTCTTCATTATGTTACATCGCCTCATGAAACAATTCACAAAAAGGCGATCACGATTTAGGGCGCGATTGGTGCGGAGCCGAACAGCGATCTCAACCTTGGCCTTTGGATTACCAATCCTCACTTCCACCACCACCACCACACACACGATCACGATGCACGCCACACGCACCGCCCTGATTGCACGCACACTGGTGCGCCGCGCATCGCCCTCTGCGTCGCACGCACCTGCCACACCGTTCGCAGCGCGCCTGAAGAAGTCGACCAACATCACGGGTGTCGAGGTGGCCAAGTCGCCGCTGGAGCAGCTCGAGTCGCGCTACACGCAGACGCTGCACGTGCTCAAGTCGATGCCCGAGGCGTCGGTGTACAGACAGGCCACCATCGCGCTCACCCAACACAGACTCGACGTCGTGCTCAACGCCAAGCGAGACGCGGACAAGGTCAGGTCGCAGCCCGAACAGCTCGAGAAGATCTACGAACAGGCAGAGGCCCAGATCGATGCCGGCCAGCTCGAACAGGTGCTCGAACAGGCGCAGGCAGAGTACAAGCTCGCAGCGAAAATGGTCGACTGGAAGGCGTGAGTATCGACCTCGCAAAGTAGCTCCAGATCATGACGTCCCGCTGACAATTGGGCTTCCTCTGGTTTGATTTTGTGGCGCTTTCGACAGTTGGGAGCCGCTCGAGCACCCGCCTGCTCCCGGACAGTGGTCGTACTTTTCCATGGCTGAAGAAGCCGGCGAGGGCGGAGAAGACCACGGTCCCAGCAAGAACTAAACCTCTTTACACACACTTGTTCTCGAATTCTACACTGTGTTGAGCCCTTTTTCTATTTCGTATTGGCAGCCCAAGTTCAGGCGTCCCAACTGCCGACGCCTAGGACGCTTTCGAGGCACTGGGTGCCGGCTATGCCTTTGGCATCGAGCCAGCGGATGAGTTTGCTCAGGTCGCTGCGTCGGCCTCTTTCGGCGGCGCGTTCGAGCTCGGGCCACTCGGTCACGTCGTCGAAGCTGCTAAACGCGCGCCGAGTGGTGGGCTCCACCAGACGCTGCGAGATCTTTTTGTGCGACGAGGGAATGTCGCTCCACGACTCGCGCTTGATGGTGCTCCAGAATGCATCGAGCGCCGAGGATGCTGCTTGCGATTCGGCTTCGGTGGGCGAAGGTGTGGAGAGCGGATGCTCGATCACGATCAGTCCCGGCTTGCCCGCCAGCAGGAATCCCGTGAGGCGAGGCGTCGACGTCGAGGCGAGTGTGCAGATATCGTCGCGTTTCGACTTGGTCGAGAGCGAGGGCAGGTAGTACCACGTGCGTCGGACGTGCGTCGACTCTGGCTCCTCCTTGACCTCTTCTTGCTCGGCTTCGGTTGCAGAGGGTATGCTGAGCAGAAACTCGGAAACCTCCTCCACCCTAGTCAGGATACTCGCCACTACATCCTCTTCCTCCTCCTCCTCCTCCTCCTCCTCCTCCATTTCTTGCGCGGTTGGGGTCGACAGTATCGCATTGACACGGTCTATCGCATCTCGATCCAGCCACGATGGCGCCTCCTTGGTGCTCGTCCACATGCTCCACCCCTGCGCGCGCAGACGGAACTCTACATTCACGCTTACCCTCCTCTCCACCAGACTCTGCTCGGACCTCACGCCCACCTTGAGCGCCAGCACCACCGCATCCCCGATGCTGTCCTTGATGTGCTGCGCCCGAGGCGTCGCAAGCTCGTCCAGCCCGAGCTGCAGGTAGTCGGCGAGCAGCTGCACCGTGCGCTCGTCGGCCGCACTCATCTCGAGCTCGTCCGTGCCGGACCACATGGCCGACACCAGCTCGATCGCAGAGGCTACCGAGGCGAGCTGCTCCGGCGCCAGCAGGTGGCCGCGTGTCGATGCCATGCCGAAGGGAAAGTGGCCGAGTAGTGTAAAGGGCAGTGGAGGCAGTGAGGTGAGAAGAAGCGGCGGTCAGGCCGGGGTTGTTCAAAAAGGGCAAAAATGTCAGATCTACAGAGGCTTACAGCTTTTCATGAAAAAAGGAGCGGCGCGCGTTTTTGGCTCCTTTTCGGGTTCGTTTGGGCCGAGAAAGTGAGCGAATGCGCGGCGCTGCGTTGGGGGCTGCCAACACCGATCCTCGTCCTCGTCCTCCTCCTCGTCCTCATCCGTGCATCTTGCATCGTGCACTCCCACTCACAAGCTGCAGCAACACACCCACCACACCTGCGGACCAATGTCGACGCAACCCATCTAGTCATCTTCTCCTCTGCGCGCAAACACCCCCTGTCGCACATCCCCGTGCGCCGCAGCCTCGGCAGCCATGGCAATGCCCTCCGCAGACTCGCACGAGTCGCTCTCGGCGGCGTACGCATCCAACTACGACTACGTCGACTCGGGCGCAGCTTCGCAAAACCACTACCAGCACCAGCAGCCACACTTGCACCACTCCAACTCGTCCGCCACCGCAACCACTACCTCCTCCTCGGCGTCCGCTTCTCTCACGCGCGCAGGTGGCAGCGTCGGTTCGTCGGGATCGCAGTCGTACTACTCATCCGCCACCAACACAAACCAGCCAAACCAGCAACAGCAACAGCAACAGCATCATCATCAAGCATACCCAAATCAGTACCAGCACTACCACCACCAGCAGTATCACCAGCATCCGCACCCGTCGCCTCCCACGCCCGCGTTTCGTCCCAACCGCCAGACCAGCTCCAACTACCCGGAACACGCACAGTCGGCAGCGCTGAATCCAGCCTCCCACCACGCCTACTTTGCTGCTCCAGCCCCCGCCATCTCGTCCAGCATGTACGCCCAGTCCAACATCTCGATGCCCGCTCTGGGCCCCGCCGTGCCCGACCCCTCCGTACGCGCCCCGCCGCTCGCAGACGACCTCGGCGACGCCTTCAACGGAATGAACCTCTACGGCACCCCCAAGCTCGGCCCACAGCGCGCAAGGTCGCCCGCATACACTGCTGCGGCCGCCTCCACCTCCGACGCCGCGGCTGGCAAGGGCGCTGCGAGCGCCGCATCGGTGCGTGCCAACGCCATGTACGCCAACCAGGAGATCCACCAGTCCGCCGCAGAGGTGCATCCCGAAAACTCGCTCGCCGCCATCGCGGACCAGGTCGACCAGGCGGCTGCCGACCTCGATCCCAACGCCAACCTCGCCGCGTCCGGCCCCTCGCACAACGACCACTCGAGCCAGCACCACGGCTCGCAGTACGCCTCGGGCGCGGGCGCGAGCACCGACGCGGGTCAGATGAACTGGGACCCCATGGCGGCTGCGGCGTACTATGGCAGCGGTGGCGCCTCGCATGCGGGCGCTGGCGCCGGTGGCTATCCCGGCTTCCAGCCACAGCCGCTGCACGCCTCGGCGGGCTACGCTTTCGCCGCTGGCGGTGCGCCGCCTGCACACTTCCCGCCTGCAGGCGCTGCATCCGGAGCGTACGACTCCAACCCGTACTTCGCTGCGGCGTCCGGATATCTGGGCTTTCCCGAGGGTGCTGCGCCCGGCTTCCCGCCTGGCGCGGATCCGTACTCGGCATCAGCAGCGGCAGCGGCGGCGGCGGCGGCGGCGGGCATGATGCCGCTGGGTGGTGGCGGTGCGGGGCGACCGAGCATGCTCACGCGGCAGGGGACACAGATGTCGATGATGTCCGGCACGAGTGCGTCGCTCGGCGGGCTGGCGAGCAATCCGCGCCGCAAGTCCAAGGAGGCCACTGCGCCGCAGCAGACGCTTCCGTTCAACAAGTCGTTCGTTGCCGAGTACCGCCAGCGCATGAAGGGCGATCCTGATCCGGAGGCGCAGTTCGCATACGCAAAGTACCTCATCGAGGCGGCCAAGAAGGTGCACGATCCGGCGGACGGCCCCAAGCAGCAGCGCAAGTACCGCGACACGCTGCTCTCGGAGAGCCTCAAGCTCATCAAGCGGCTCGCCACCACAGGCATGGGGTTGGGAAAGCCGCCGTATGCCGAGGCGCAGTTCTTCCTCGCCAACTGTTTTGGCAACGGCAGTCTGGGGCTGCAGGTGGACCACGAGAAGGCGTACAATCTGTACGTGCAGGCGAGCAAGCAGAACCACCCGGCTGCCACCTATCGTACTGCGGTTTGCAACGAGGTGGGCGCAGGTACGCGCCGGGACCACCACCGGGCGGTGCTGTTCTACCGCAAGGCATCTGCACTGGGGGATACGGCGGGCATGTACAAGCTGGGCATGGTGTTGCTCAACGGCATGCTGGGGCAGCCGCGCAATGTGCGCGAGGCGATCGTGTGGCTCAAGCGCGCCGCAGCCCAGGCGGACGAGGACAACCCGCACGCGCTGCACGAGCTCGGGCTGCTGCACGAAAAGTCGACCAACTCGGTGGTGCTTCACGACGAGGCGTATGCGCGCGAGCTCTTCACGCACGCCGCCCAGCTCGGGTATGCACCGTCGCAGTTCAAGCTCGGTTCGGCGTACGAGTACGGCCACCTGACGTGCCCGGTGGATCCGCGCCGCAGTATCGCCTGGTACACCAAAGCCGCGGGCAGGGGGGATGGCGAGTCGGAACTCGCACTTTCGGGCTGGTACTTGACGGGATCGGAGGGCGTGTTGAAGCAGAGCGACTCCGAGGCGTACCTGTGGGCGCGCCGCGCAGCCAGCAAGGGCATCCCCAAGGCCGAGTACGCCGTGGGCTACTACTCGGAAGTGGGCATCGGCGTGAATGCGAATCTGGACGAGGCCAAGCGGTGGTATATGCGCGCAGCGGCGCAGGGCAACAAGCGCGCCATGCAGCGCCTCACCGAACTCAAGAAGCTCAAGGGCAGCGCAGCCAAGGGCGCGCGCCCCACGCGCAAGGACGCCGAGTCCGAATGTACCGTCATGTGAAGCACTCAATCGCATTGCATTGCCAAACACCCTCTCGCACAACAAAGGGATTTCTAGAGACGCGCGCGGGCGTTGGCGAGCGGCGTAGAGTGGGCACGGTTGCTGTCGGCGGACTGAACAGCGCGGCCGGCGTTTTTGTCGGCGTGGGTGCGTGCATGGTGGTTGAAGGTAAACCGGCTCAAGTCGAGCTGCCTCGTGTTGGGGACGAGGCGTTTGGCGGCGAGGAAGACGTCGCCGATGATGGGGAGGAACTTGAATGCGTGTCCGCTATCTCCACTGACCACCCACACCTTGTCGGTGCCCTTTGGTTTCGCAGGGTGGTTGGCTAGGCTGTCGATGATCCAGTTTTCGTCGAGCGTGTCGGAATACCAGCAGACGCGGGTACACACGACACGTTCGCGCTGCGCGAGGTGCGGCCACGTCTGCCTCAGCTCCTCCAGCATGATCTCGAGCTGGTTTTCGGGCATGCTGCAGGCGGCCATCCCGAAGGCATCTTGCTCGGTGCTGTCCGTGCAGCTAAACGCCGGGAATGTCCCCGTGAAGGTGGAGGGGGGTGAGGGGTGGAGGAATCCGTTGGAGTGGATGGCGATCTTGAGATGCCACTCGTCATCGTCGGCGGTCGGGGTCGGTTCAAACTGGTAGAATCCCGTGGCAAAGTTGATCACCACCGGCGTTGCCTTGAGCTGCAGCGCCTCGGCGCGGGTTAGACGCACCACCGCCACGCACTGCGCACTCGGACGCGTCATCCATGCCTCTCCCACACCGGGGAGCAGCGTGGTGAGCAGCTTCTGCGTCCATGCTCCCGCAGCAAGCACCACGTTGTCGCCGCGAACCACCCGTCCATCCGCCGTCTTGACTCCCACCACCTCGCCCGCTTCGTAGAGGAAAGAAGCGACGCTGCTGTCCGGATACACCGTAACCCCAAGCTTGACCGCATGTGCAAGCAGCGCTCTCGTGGCGTTGTTCGCCTCGGCCCACCCCGCGCGTGGATTAAAGTAGCCCGTCTGCACCCTCCCCATCCCCTTCAACCCGTCCCCCTTCAATCCCTCTGCCTTTCCCAGGATCTCCTCCACCTGAGCATCGTTGTTGAGCTTAAATGCTCGCACCTTTTCTTCGGCGGGAAAAACCTCTAGATGCATATCGCTTTCGAGCGCTGCATGCTTGATACCGTTGTGGACGTACTCCTCTGCACTTCCCTCCTTGCCCCACACGTCGCCCGTCGCCGACGAGCGGAAGAGCACCCCCACCTCGTGGTAGAACCTGCTCAGCACCGGGCTCGAACGCCACCTTGCAATCGCCTCCTTGGCCAGCGTGCAAAAGTTCGCATCCGTGTAGTCGGCACGTACGATCTTGTTGAGGTCGTGCGATGCGCCATCGGGCGCAACAAAGCCGTCGGAGGATCGGTCGAGTACGGCGACGCGGAAGCCGTGCGAGGCCAACGAGGTCGCAATCGACGTCCCGTTGACGCCGGCACCCACAATCACGTAGTCGTACGAATCCATCTTTTGGCAGAAAGTGATGTGATGGTTGAGAAGGATGAGTGCATGACTCGAGTTCAAAGTGAAGTGGGGGGACCTGTCGGGGCAAAAGAGGTGGGGGCAGCTTATCGAAGGACAGCGAATCAGCAAAAAGCCTCGGTCCAACTCTGTGGAAATTCACCGACCCCACCTCCGTCCAATTCGCCGAATCTTACCCCAGCCCACACGCACAACCCACCCAACCAACACAAAAGACGATCTGCAAACATCGGACGATAGGATATGACCATTCCGACGACAAGACTGGCTATCCAAACGTCTGCGAGCTCTTACCCACGCGCTTGACCTTGCTGAGTCTCCACTCGTCCTGATGTTTCGCAAACCTGTCGAACAGCGGCGCGATCTTCTCCTGCCTCTTCCTCTTCGAGATGTTCATCGCATCCGCCGGCCTAAAGAAGCGCGGCGCGACCTCGACGAGCCACTTGGGTTCGATGGCGGTCACCTCGCGCATGTACTCGCGCGTAGTGAGCACCACCTCGTGGTACACACAGTACTCGGGTGCGCGGTTGAACAGCGCCGAGCTCGGATGGATGTACACGGTCCCTCCCGACTCGGCAAGCGACTTGTATCCTTCCTGCGGATCCTTCTTTGCCGCATTGCGAAAGTAGCCCGAGCAAATCGCCTTGCGTACGCGGTTGTAGTTCTTGCCGCACGAGACAATGTCGTGGCTGTACCGATCCATGATGCCCACCAGCTGCTTGCGCACCTCCTGCGCACGCCGCAACGAGCGTCCCTGCACAAAGTTATCCATGCACCACGCCATGCTGAACTTGCTCGCCGCCCAGCCATTGTACACGCTGAGCAGCGTCAGATGGTCGCCCTCGGGCTGGAAGAACTTGGCCTTCTTGGCGTCCGCCTGCGTCTGCTTATCCTTTGGCCGGTAGAAGACGTTTTGCACCGACAGCATCGCCACGATCGACAGCATCTCCTCGCTACACCCCAGATCCACCGACGCAATCAGCATCTTGGACATCATCGGCTCCATCGGAAAGTCGGCCATCTTGCGTCCCAGCCGCGTCAGCAGCCCTTCGTCGTCGAGCGCACTCAGCGCATACAGCGACTCGAGCGCCGTCAGCAGCGTCTGCGCAGGCGGCGGATCCATAAAGTCAAAATTCACCAGGTCGTTGACGCCCATCGCCTTGAGCGCCAGGATCGTCGACGCCAGATTCTGTCGCTGGATGTCTGGGATCGAATTGGGCAGCATTTCGTTCCGATACGCCGCCTCGGTGTACAGCCTGTAGCACTTGCCCGGTCCCGTGCGCCCCGCACGACCCGCACGCTGACGCGCCTGCGCCTGCGAGATCGGCGTCACCACCAGCGAGTCCATGCCCAACCGCGGATCGTACGCGTTCTGCTTGACGAATCCCGGATCGACCACATAGTAGATGCCGTCGATCGTGATGCTCGTCTCGGCAATGTTGGTGGCGAGGATCACCTTGCGCGATCCCGCCGGCGTCGGCTCAAAGATCTTGGTCTGCATCTCGCTCGGCAGCGCCGAGTACACGGGCAGAATGATGAGCTCCGGCACGCTCGGTCCCAACGCCTTCATGCGCTCGAACAGAATCTCGCAGCTGGTGTCGATCTCCTCCTGGCCCGTCAGGAAAACCAAGATATCGCCCGTCGGCTCCGACAGATGGATCTGCATTACCGTGATGAGCGCCGCATCCAGGTAGTCCGGCTCGGGCTCCTTGGTGTACAGGATCTCCACCGGATACGTGCGGCCGGGGATGGTGAAGATGGGGCAGCCGAAAAAGTAGGTCGAGAACTTTTCCGCATCGAGCGTGGCCGACGTGACGATGAGCTTGAGATCCGGCCGACGCTTGAGCGCCTTCTTGAGCAGGCCGAACAGCACATCGGTGGCGATGGTGCGCTCGTGCGCCTCGTCCAGCATGATCACCGAGTAGTTGGACACGTCCGGATCCACCAGACACTCTCGCTGCAGCATGCCGTCGGTCATGTACTTGATCTTGGTCTCGGGGCTGGTGCAGTCTTCGAATCGGATGGTGTAGCCCACCTCCTGGCCCACCCTGCAACCGACCTCCTCGGCGACGCGCTTGGCCACACTCACCGCCGCCACACGCCTGGGCTGCGTGCATCCGATCTTGCCGCGGTCGGCAAAGCCCTCCTCGGCGAGGTACTGCGTCATCTGCGTCGTCTTGCCCGAGCCCGTGTCGCCGACGACGATGAGCACCTGATTGTCGCGGATCGCCTGCACCAGCTGCTGGCGCAGCTTAAAGATGGGCAGGCTCTGGCGCTGTTCCTGCATCGAGAGGCTGGTGATGCGGCCAAAGGTGGTGGCCTTGTTGAACGTCTCCTTCTTCCACGCGGGCTGGTCCTGCGCCTTTTGGCCGAGAATGTTGCCCCTGCGGTCCTGGGCGAACATGCGATCGCCCTGCTGCGCCATGGGGTCGAGCCATCCGGAAGTCATGTCGGCGGCCTCGGCATCCGCCTCCTCTTCGGCCTCCTGCTTGCGCAGCTCCCTGCGCTCCTTTGCGAGCGATGCACCGGCAACAGCGGCACGGTTGAGCGTTCCGTCGGGAGCCTTGACGATCTTAACGGGCGACATTTCGAGCGAGGCGCTCGTCTGGCCTTTGAGGAAGGGCGCCTCCTTTTCGTTGACCTCGATGTCGATCTCTTCGTCGTCCGAGTCGGCGCCCGGTTGGGTGTTGGGCGTGCGCAGGTCTTCTTCCATGAGCTCGGGATAGTCGCTGGCCTTGGCGACGCCACTGGCGATGAGCTGACGCAGCTCCCAGCGTTCTGGGCTGGTGAGACGTTTGATGCTGCGGCCACGGCCGTCTTCCTTGACTGCAACGCCGCTGCCGGCACCGTTGCCGTTGGCGCCTCTGGCGCCTCCGAGCGGAGCGCTGTTGGCGCCGCTGGCGGAGCGTGCTGCGACGCGTTCGCGTTCTTCGGCCATCTCTGCCTCGCTCTTGATGCGGAGGTGTGGGGTGAGGTCGCGACCGGTGGCCTGGTCGACGTCTTTAATGGAAAGGCCGATACGGTCGCCCACGACCGACATGACCTTGACCTTGACCTTCTGGCCTCGGGAGAGGAGGTCCGAGGGGTGATTGACGCGCGTGCCGACGGCGATGGAGCCGATGTGGACCATACCTTCGAAGCGGCCGCGCAAACCTTCCAGGCTGACAAAGGCGCCAAAGTCCCGCATGTTGCTGACCTTGCCGTCGTAAATCTTGTACAGCTGAGGCCTGTCATCTGATGGGGGCCGCGAGAGGTGCGGTGGTGGACGCTCATCACGTCCACGCCGGGATGAATGGTCTGTTCTGTCGTATTCTGCACGCGTTGAAGATTCTCGAGATGATTCTGGGGCGCTACGTTTTGTGGTGTTGCCCGACTTTGCGGAGGCCAGGTCCTCGAACTCCTTCATGAACTCGTCTACAGCTGCGTGACCCTTTCCTTTCTCCTTCTCCTGGGACGGCTGCCAGTCCTGGTCCTTGATGACGAGGCCGGGGAACATGCGAGCCTTGCGCTGTCTCTCCTCGTCATCGTGTGTTGCCTTTTGCTTACCCTTTGCGCTGGGCGACGAAGAGCCTGCTTGGGCGTTGGTGGATGGCTTGGCCGCGGCTTTCTTGTGCTTGGGGTGGAGGCGGAGGATGAGGCGGTCGAGGTTGGCGACAAATGCGTCAGGAAAGTCTGCGCCGACCTCGGAGAGTTTTGCCTTGAAGTCTGCGACCGAGGTGGCCGAGTCGTGGAGGGAGAGGATGAACTCGGCGAGGACGCGGTCGTTGATGCCGGTGTGGTTGAGCAGCTCGGTGGCGATCTTGCCGGTGAGGGAGAGCAGCTCGAGCTGGTATAGCTCGTCCTCTGCTGACGCTTTCTTTGGCGCCATGATTATAAGAGCGGTGGTGGTGGTGGTGGAATGCAACTTGGCGCAGCAGCAGCAGCCGGTGCGAACCCTGAACCAGGCGAGCTGCGAAAATCCACCGCCGCGTCTCGGAAGTCGGCCCACTCCACGATCGGGGCTGCCATCACGGCCGATTTGCGAAGAGCGAGATCTGTGTCTAAAATGTTGCGGCGGCGGTGTGAAAGAGCACGAGCCAACGGCGGTGATTTCGGGAGTGGCGCTTGAGTTGAGAGCGCTTGGCTGCATGCACGGCTGCTGCGCGTAACGCCCTGCTATCCGCTTTCGGTTGGGCTCCGACAGCAGCCTTTGGGAGGCTTTCCTCACGCTTCGTCAACGCTGAGCTCTACCGCCATCTCACTGCGATCACCTCTGGCTTCCATCGGCTGCCGTCCGAAATGTGGCCGCGCCATCCTGCCTCCGAAACCGCCGGCCAGCGTGCCCAGGCTCACGACGTCGACGATCGCCCGCTCAACGCCGACGAAAAGACACCCGCCGATGCTGCTGCTACCGACAAGAAGCGCAGCAGCGATGCCATCAACAAGCAGGACGTCATTCGGTGAGTTGAATAACCATACTTCCGCGCAGACAAAAGGCAACGGCTGACTCTCATTTGGGGTGATGGCTTGCAGATTCGCGCCGCTCTCGATTCCGCGCAGCCGGCGGCTGCAGACGGCGGGCGTGCTGTTCTGGGCGCTGCTGCTGCCGATCTGCTTGAGCATCTTCTTTCTGCTGCTGTCGATACCCTACGCATGGCCGATCCTGATACCCTATCTGATCTGGATCAACTTTATCGACGATGCGCCCGAGAATGGCGGGCGTCGCTTCTCGTGGGTGCGCAAGCTGCCCGTCTTCCGCTACTTTGCCGAGTACTTTCCCATCTCGATGATCAAGACGACCAACCTGCCCGCGGACCGGCCGTACATCTTTGGCTACCATCCGCACGGCATCCTCGGCGTGGCTGCGGTCGCCAATCTCGGCACGGACGCCACCGAATTCCCGGAAAGCTTTCCCGGCATTACGCCGCACCTGCTCACGCTCGCCACCAACTTTACCATCCCGCTCTTCCGCGACTGCATCATGGCCATGGGTCTATGCAGCGTGTCCAAGCGCAGCTGCGAGGCCATCTTGCGCAAGGGCAAGGGCAGCGCCATCGCCATCGTCGTCGGCGGCGCCAGCGAGTCGTTGGCCGCCCATCCCGGCACCGCCGATCTCACCCTCCGGAGACGGCTTGGATTCATCAAGATCGCCATTCGCAACGGCGCCGACCTGGTGCCCGTGTTCTCGTTTGGCGAAAACGACGTGTACGAACAGCTCTCCAACGAAGAGGGCACCAAGATCTATGCGCTCCAGAAGCGGTTTCAGTCGCTCTTTGGCTTCACCCTCCCCTTCTTCCACGGCAGAGGCCTGTTCAACTACAGCATCGGCTTGATGCCCTATCGCCATCCCATCGTCAGCGTTGGTAAGTCGTCGTCGTCACCCAGAAACCCCGCGCGCCACGCAGAGAGAACTGACCTTCGGGCATGGCGACTTTTGGACAGTGGGCAAACCGGTGCATGTCAAACAGAACCCCAACCCGACCAAGGAAGAGATCGAAGAGGTGCAGACGCGATACATCGAAGAGCTCATGAAGTAAGTAGCCGCAGCGCCGCATCGCATTGCCACCACGGCCGAAGTGCAACCCCACTGACACACGCACGACGTTTGGGTCGTGGCAAACACAGCATCTGGGAGACGTGGAAGGACGCCTATGCTGCCAACCGCACCAAGGAGCTCACCATCGTAGCCTGACCCCTTGATTCCCGGGCCTCAAACTCGCTGCCGCATATGAAATCAAACCTGAACGCTTGGTGGGCGCGGTCTTAATTTTGGCATTTTAATACAACGTGTGGGCTTACATCGGGGGCTGGGGCGCGCGCGATCTTACTTTGCCTCTTGCACCGCCGGCGATTCGATATCATCGTCTGCCTCTTCGTCGTCGTCATCTTCAGCACCGAAGCTTGGCATGCCGCCACCCATACCGCCCATACCGCCCATACCGCCCATCTGAGACATCATCGCCTGCAAATCCAATCCGCCAGCACCTCCCATGCCCATCATTGAAGGATCCATCATGCCCCCAGCACCCATTCCGGACATGTCGGACATATCCGGGCCGGCATCGGCAGAATCCTGCTCGTCCTCATCGACCCACTTGTCGAAGTCGGTCTTGACGTTGTGCAGGCGCACCTTCTCCTTGGTGAGGCGGGGCCAGTATTCCTCCTGCGCGGTCTTCTTGCGCAGCACGGCGTAGAGGCTCTTGGAAGTGAGCGAGGTCTTGGAAGCATCCACATCGATCTCGTCAAAAAAGTCGAGCTTGAAGTCGTACTCCTTGTTGGGGATGCCCTTGGACTCGTCTCCCGTCTTGGCGTGGAAGCTGAACCCGCTCGAGGTGAGCTCGAACTTGGTTGCGGGTGGCGCAGGGAGGTTGGGCACGTTGATGGTGAGCATCACCACGTTCTTCTCGGGCTCGTCAGCAGACGAGCGCTGGGCCCACAGGATCTCGGGAACTACAGTCGACATGGTTGGCGAGATAAAGGTGTGTGATGGTGTCGAGAAGGAAGGAGCAACTCCACTTTTTCCACATCCACACAACGCACAGACGCGCCCTTTCGGCGAGATTCCTTCCATTCCCAGGTCCCAAGTGGCGCGTGTGTTCCAGCTGCTTCGATCAAGCGCCGCATTCACTCTAACACTGGTGGCGCCGAAATGCGGACATCTCGTGCGAAAAGAAGAAGCCGCCCAAAAAGGGTCTCTTCTGCGGTCCAAAAATTCCTCGCCTCTGGAATCTTCACTTTTTTCCTCGGCGCCCAAATTTGGTGTGGAGCAGCAGCCGCTCTCATACTGGCTGCCGCCGCCTTGCCTCTGCCCCTCCATCGCATTCCCAACCCGACCATGCCGCCCAAGAAGACTTCCACCGCCACCACCGGCGGCGCAAAGAAGGCCGCACCGGCCAAGCCCACCAAGGCTGC